AAAAATTAACATTCGCTCAAATTTTTGTCGCACAACTATCACAAATGTTCAATGGAAGTGGATCCACTAGCCTCCTCGTCGCCGGGAGATCTTTCGTCTCCACATGGTTTGAACAGGTCACTCTTCCGTTCGCATGCTAACCTATCGCCGAAACGTTTTTTCGGTGGCGGAAAGAAATTCATTACTTCTTACGCGCGTCATGTCCCTCGTAGCCTTCACTCGGAAAAATCTTCACTGTGCTTCTTTAGTCCTTCAGAAAGGGTGGGGCATATGGTTTGTGGTGCTGTGCCGAAAATAGAAGCTGACAGCGATTTTTGCGAGCTTTTTCATGCGATGAATGTTCAGCTGCACAACGTTCACAAGGCTGTGCGACAGGGTCGATCTCGCGTTCGCACTTTTACAAAATTTTAGCGACCCATTTCATTTTCCACGATACTCCCCCCCCCCCACCGCTTTAGCCCGCAGTGCGGTGCCCAACCTGACGACACTAGTGCTCGTATTCAGTGCTAGTGAAAGCAATGTGATATGATGAAATAATATGTATATACTTTCTAACAAAAACATGAAAGAAAGAAATGAGAAAAATGGGCGAAGCAGAGTAGCAGCTAAAGGAGCTAAGGATCCATTTCCATCACGCCAACCAAATCCTCGATCCCCGGGAAGCTTTAATATGATACCTGCCTTGGCTGAGAAATTAGCTCGCATCACGGTGTGTACGCCTAATACGCAGTCAAACGCACCTGCGATCTAAAGGTAATTCGAAAGCATGGCGCATCCCATTCCGAGAGGTTTGAAGTCAGTGAGCATTCAACCGCGCCAACCTTTTCTGTCAAGTGTGGAGAAAAGTTCCTCTGCAACTTGTCACTCTAAAATAGACCCAGCAAACTCCTCAATTATGTAACCCTTTAAATTTCAAAAATTTCTGAACTTTCCCTAAAAGTCCGCTCTCCCTTGATAGAAGTCGACATGTCAGTACTGGGTTTGACACGATTCCCTCGAAAAGTTAAAGGCACGCTCCGCGATTAGGCGGGCTCGCCTGTTCCATCCAGGGGGTAGTAGGCAGGTGGACAAGTGTTGATGTCGGCCCCTTTTGCGGCTTGAAAGTACGCGACAAAGGCGCAAG